AGCCCATCTGGAATCTTCTGAACCAGTAGCACTCCAGGCTCTTAAAACCACCCCTGGTCAAAATTCTAACCAGGGGTGTGAGGACGTCTTTCTTAATAAAGGATGCTCTCAAGAAAAAAAAATGGAATGATGGTGTTCTTCTTTTCCAGTGGGTCTTAGACATCATCTCTTCTAATTATGCAGATGAAAGCCTAGCCCCAGAAGGAATCCAGCAAATGGTCTCAGGTCACTCTGCCCAGGGGTGACAGAACCGGAAATGAAACCCAGACTCCTCTACGACAGTGGTGGTCAGACGTTTCAAATGATCGATGAATTTCTCTGAATGCTGGGGTTTTCCCTTTATTGGGCTTTTGCAAAGAAGCGCAGACATGTCCCAAATGGAGGGTATATTCACACCATTTGAGCAAGATGGGATAAACAGAAAGGAAAATGGTTTTCAGAAGTTCTTTTCATTTGGAAGTGCAGGAAGGGGTTGGTGTGTTACTCGGTTGTTTTGGATCCTGGATTAAAATGTTTCGTTCTGTGGATAAAACTCTAACTTAAAATGCTGTCACTCGAATGTTTTCTTTGGAAGTTTTTCTGATTTTTAAATTTTTAATTAAGAAAAATTTCTTTCATCTCTGCTTAGCTTGGAAATTGAAGGCAATTTTTCTACAGAGGAGTCAATAGTACCTGTTGTCCAGGAAGCATCACAAGAATGGTTTGAGGCTCTGGGGGGGATTTGGGATGGGTTTGGGGTGGAGGATGGGGGATGGGACACAAGGGAACTGGAGTCATAATGCTTGTAAAGCTTTGCGGAATAAACAGGACAGCTTCCCACGGGGAGGAACATAGCAGAGGCAGGAGCAGATGGAGTTTGAGTTTCTGAGTTTGAATTTTGTGAACAGGTGTTTTACTAAATTCAGGTCCGAGATGCATTACCTGGGAAGAATTTGCTCCCTTCACACAGCTTCCCGACTTAGGAGATGAACTCCTGTGATGGGGAATCAGCTTTACAAATAATTCTCAACTCTTAGGAAGGTTTAGAAAATCGAACTTGCTCTCCGAAGGCAGGCTCTGGGTGTCCCTACTTGTGTCAGGGCTTCTGTCTGTCTGGTGACCGAGCCAGGGGCCCCGTCAGGGACCTCACCACAGTTCACAGTGTTCTTTGCAAAGGGGAATAACCTGTAAATGTCACAAAGACTAAGACACAGGAGCCTAGGTTTCTCTGCTGCCTAATCTGCTTTTTTTTTTCCAAAACAAAAAGTGATTTTTTAAACGGACTTCAACCTAGATACTCAATAGATGTTTGTTGAATCAACGAAAGAAACGCTTACATTCAAAATTTTAACATCAGAAACATCTGCCGTTAGATACATTAGAGGAGTTTGTAAATAGCAAAACTGTTCAATCACAGTAGTTTGGTTTTTTTTTTCTACTATGGTGGCTTTTAAAATGTGTCAAAGAAATAATCCACACTTGCACATATATTCCCCAGGATGAGTTAAATGCAACTATTTCAAAAGTGAGGCAGGACAGACTGAAAATGAAGGAGGGATACAATTTACTCAAAGGTATTTGTGAGCATTTCAGATCTACAATCGTGTTCTGCCTTTCGAGATGAAGCTCTCTTTAGTGTCGCTGTTCTAGTGGGTCATAACTTTTTAAGTGAAGAAAAAAGAGAGAACAAAACTATTGAAGCCATGAAAACATATGATAACATTCTAAAGAAGAAACTGGGTAATTGTTACATATATATGTATTTTTTTAATCTTTTGCATCATCTTCTAGAAATACCTTAGAATGTTAAAATCATGTACAGGATGATAAGATGACATTTGTCTACAGAAGGAACAGGATCAAATATGCTAAAGCACCTAAAACAAAATGCAGCTAAAGTCTTGAGTTTGGGATTTTTCTATGTGTGGCCCCCTCCCCTCCCTTCTCCCACCCCAAGAATGTCAAGAATTTGAACTCCCTGTTCTGAAGGTGAAAGGGCATTAACTCAAATCTGTTCATGAAGGAGAGAAGTGGCAAATGTCGAGCCATTGGAACGATCTGATAAAACCTCCCCAGTTTAAGACGGCCATGGACCAGAACTGCCTTGGGTGCATCACACGTGACCGGAAACCACGTCCGAATTAGGAACCAGTCAGATCTTCATTTGCAACTCAGTAATTCTCTACTTCTTTATTTCAACATTTAGCTTTAGGTTGGAAATATTTGCTAAGAAAGCAAAGAGGCGATTAACAGATTTTCAAATGTGTGCCGGGGTTACACATTCTGTCAACAGAGCGAAAGGAAACTATACAGCATAAGTTACAAAACGGTTATTTCACGTTTCGCAAACATTCCAATAAACCCTTCACTGTGCTGCTATTCGACAGCAGAAAAGCAAAATAGAAATGAACTCAAGAGCCAGCCCAGCTCCTGGACATCTCGCAGAAAACCAAGAGGAAGCCGCCAGCGGCAGTCCACCCGTGAATCTCAAAGAGGAAATCTCCCCACTTCTCCTGTGAGAAGACTGTCTCCTCGAGGTGACACAGGCAGAGGGCACTGCAGCGCACGAGGGGACCAGGGAAGTTACTCCGGCCCCAGGATCCATGCCTCTGGGCTGCATTGCAAACTCCAAAGATGCCCAGTTTCCCAAAGGAACCGATGTTGACTCTCTGGGGTTTGCCTTTACCTCCGAATGAACACCTTAACCTGTTTGGACTTTGTGGCTTTTGTTTTGATTGGTTTAAACATCTTTTTTTCCCCCTTAAATTAACTACAGCTCCTGGATTCTCTAAGAGCTTGGCCACCACTCCTGATACAATGTTATCTCGTTGCTTTTAAATAGTTTCACTTTATTATTTATTCGTATATTATTATTTCAACAGACTGCATGAAAGGCAGTGATCACTAACACAGAACACAGCAGGCGCTAACATTCAGCCAGGCTGTTCTCAGGACCCGCTCTGGCGGGTCTGAGCCGCTGACATGCACGCTGGGAGCTTGCAACACCGCTACCTTCACAGCGCAGGCTGCGGGCGGAGTGGGCGACAGGACAGGTGCCACTGTACCCTTAGAAGCTATGTAATAAATATCATAAAAAAAAAATGCAAAACTCAGCCCTTCAGAGCACAACCACCTTAGGTCGACTGAATGTCACCTAGTTTCTTCAATCGAAAATAGAGCGAGAAGGAAAATGTTCAAACAAAAACAAAAGAGGGGAAAAAAAGCATTTCTTAACACTAGCAGTAAATAAACTTGTACAACAGTTCAATCTGTATAACATGATGAAATAAATCTACATCTTTTCTTATTTTGGTGCTTTGAATTATACATACAAACAACAATTACAGGGACTTGTTCACCAAGCGTGCGGGCCTGGAAGTCTCTCCGAGTCCCCCCTCCGGCAGCAGGTGAGCGCTGCCCCACCGCCCAGAGCAGAGGGATTTCCTAGGCAGAGGCCCACCGCCTTGAACAAATGATTTGCCTACTAACTTTTTTCTTTTTTTTTCTCTTTTTTTTTTTTCTCTTAATGCATCAAACAACTGTGACCAGTGAAAGGCAAAAAAACCCTGGCAGTTTGTCCATTTGGATATCAGACCTAGTTTCTCTTAATTTCCACCCTTTATTTTCCCCCGTATTCCTTAAAATTCCTGGCGTCCTTCACGCCTTCCTGACAGCGACTCGGATGCAATCAAGTCGTCGTCTTCCAAGTACAGGATTTCTTACAATATAAGTTATATGCAGTGTTCAGCGATTCTTTTTTTTTCTTTTTTCTTTTTTTTTTTTCACAGCACTAGAGAGACCCTGTTAAGTAGGGAAACGCGAGTCTGAATGGCTTTATTCACAAATGGGATCCAGGTTCGGGGCACACAGACGCCGCAGCGGGCTCCTCTGTCAAAGTGGCGAATGTCATTTTGCTTTCTGACTTCGAAAACAGGTATCCGTCCGATTTCAGCTTGCTGGTACCGCTCCTGGAAAACGCACGTCGGAGGGGCCGGAGGGGTTCTCGCCCGGAGACCTCTAAGCGTCGAGCAGAGGCTCTAACCCATGGCGGTGACCATACTGGAAGGGTGATGAGGTCCGAAGGAGAGACTGGACGGTGGGTGCATCGGCGTGGGCGTGGTCAGCATGTGGCTGGAGTGGCTGAACGGTGAGATGTGGCTGAGCGAAGACATGTGTCTGGAGAGGGCGGCGGGGTTGAACGAGCTGCTCTTGGGGAAGTCCTCCAGCGTGTCGTGCACCTTTTTGCACTTTTTGGATTTGCTAGACATTTTTCGGTTTCGGGTCTGGATGCCTTCCTTCTTCATAGTCAGGGGTCTGTTAATCTGAACAAAGATCAATTTTTTTTTTTTTACTTTTTTTTGGCTGGCTCTGAAATGGTGCAGGCTTTCACACCGCCAACACCGGTTCCCCTGCCTGCCCCAGACCAGGGGTCTACTCTCAGGGGCCCTTCTTCTCAGAGCCCTGCAGGCGAGCTCTGCGGCAGGCTTCTGCCCGTCGGCCTCCATCGGTTTCAGAAACCAGGAGACCAAGGGCAAGGTGTTCCAAGCAGAGGTTATTAATCATGTTCATCCAATCACTTGTGGGAAAGTTTGCCTCGGGGAACTTTGTGTCCCCGAGGACCACATTCTAGAGACCCACCCAAGATGGTTGTACTTCTCTGGTACCTAAAATATAATAGCTTGTCTTCTTCCACTAGAATCACCTTAGAACAATTCATGAGAATGGAAGCAAGGGAGGAATTTTCAAGAGGGAAATAGTATCTTATCTACTGGTCCTGTGTTGTGACTTTGGAAGCTGCAAGGTAACCGATCTTTACTGTTTCAGTCCAATTGCCTTGAGAAGCAAGGACTGCTTCCCTCTTCAAAGTAACTTCTGGTTGCCTCTCTTCTACCAGTTTTTTTGCAACAAAAGATGCTATAAAATCTTGCCCTGAAATTTTACGTTCTGGGGTCATCCTTTACTAAAACGTGTCTTTCCAAAAGGTAGTGTCCTGCCCAAGTGTCACCAGCTGTGATGATTGAAAGTGGTGATCTCTCCTGGTCCTGGTAATCTACTTCTAACCAGACAAACAGCTAAACCAACCAATTGACACGAACGTGACATCCGCTGAGGGGACGGAGAGTACCCTGCTAGCCCTCTCGTCCTAACAATCAAAGACCACAAATGAAGCAGAGTGACAGGGCAGAGGCCAGCATCCGCTGTAAAGATCGCTCATCTCCTGTCTCTCTTCCCAACAAGCCTCATTGGGTTTATTTTCAATATACACTCACTTTTTGTGGGGTGGAGGGCAGAACCGAGAGAAGGGACTCCACCAAGCAAACTGAGATCATGCCCCACCATGATTCAGAATCAGACTGACCTCAAGTGGGGCCACCTGCCCAGTAAAGCAGACTGCACATCTGGCCCTGCTTCCAGGGAAATGTGGCAAAGGAGGGGACGTCAGGGTCTCAGTCCTTCCTGACTCCTGGCGGAAATAAACAACTTCATCCTCCAGGGTCCTCAAGGCTGGAGAAAGAAGCGAGGTTCTCCTGGCTCCGGGATCTGCCTGTCTGCTCCAAGTGCTAGAAAGCGCTAGTCGAGGAAGAGAGAATCCACTAACCAACAGGGCTGGGCGGCTGACAGCACTTCTGGGAGCAGCAAACCCACAGCTTCCTGGGGCTGCGCTGGGAGAGGTCACCTGGAGAGGGTCCAGAGCCACTCGGTGGGGCTGACACCTGCTTCCGCCCCTCGCCCGGGAAGGCAACGTGAGTGACGGCAGAGGAGGAAAAGGTCGTTGCCAAAGAACCTTTCAGGGTTCCTTCCTCAAAGTTATAATCAAGATAAAGATGCAGCCTACAGAGGTGGTAGAAATCTACCGTCACATCAAATCTCCCCAAGATAGCGTCTAGACACACGGCTCTTTGCGCTGATACCTAGATATACTGAGCGGCTATCTAAATATAATATCTAGTTACACAGATAGCCACACAAACCCAGATAACTAGTCTCAACACTGACACGGAGATACGTAGTTATCTACACACCTAGATAAGCAGACAGGAACTAACTCAGGGCATCCAGTTCAGGTCTCGAGATGGGCAGGACTAAACACAACAAGATGAGGATGCTAACAGGTTATTATCTCTCATTGTTAAGCCCGCAGCGAATCGCCTCCTTCGGGGACTTCTTACTAAACCAGAGAAGGCAGAAAAAAACCACTGGAGTTGGCGAGCAAGTTTCCATCTCCCAGCCACCAGGGTCCAACCACAACGTCGGTAGCTAATTAAGAAGAGGGTGGGAGGGAGTCGTGATGAGGGTTCCCTGGCTTTTCTCTGATTTAATGAGAAATTCGTATACTTCAGAAATATCTGCTTTTGAGATTGGACACAATTGAGACCGTAGCTCACTGAGGCCAAGGAGTCCAAGAAATTTAGAGCTGGTTCGTTTCTCATAATTCCTATACGGCTATGGAAATAGGAAAGAAATACACACACACGCATTCATTCCTTTGACCAGAACTCTGGTATATTCTAAAATGAGAAGGTGCTTACTCTCCCCTGGTTTCCACTAGTCCTGGAGCTGCTGGCCTCCCTGGAAGGCCTTTCATATTTGGAAATCGATACTGGCCCTTCCACCTCATCGGCCACATGACTTGCTTCTCTGAGTCATAATTTCTTCAAGTAAAATGAAAATAAAGGCCATTTCCGCCCTGCTACCTCATGGGACTGCTGGAGGCTCAAATGTAATCAAGCAACATGAAAGTTCTTTGAAAACCATAAATGACAGCCCCAAAATCATTTTATAGGCTGTGCTGATGACTGGCTAACTCATAAACTCTAAGGCCCCGAAGCTTCCAGATTTCCATTGCAAACCGTCTTCTCTTCCCGGCACTTCCCCAAAGGGAAACCCGGCCTGGCGTTTCATTGATGATAAATGTATATAAACCGCAGTCCGAGGATCTGGGGGGAGACACGATCAATCCTAGTAAGACGCTGGTTCCACCAGCGCCCCCCCTGCACGAGGGCCGTGCCGAGGGCGGGGACGCGCAGGCAGGGAGGGGAGGGTCACAGGTCTCCCGGAATCCGCTCACTCCCAGGACGCACAGTAGGACTGGGTTGCTGGGGTCACCCTGGGAAGTTCTCCTGTGACTCAAAAAATCTAACCAGGAAAGCTTCCGCCCCAACTCCTAGGCGTTCCTGGGCAAGACAAGTTGGCCACCAGAATGGCCACGAGCGAAAACCTCTGCCTTTGCCCTCCCGGACTTCACCAAAGCCAGACTGGCAAAGAGACATTAAAGGAATCAGACAGAGCCAGAGATTAGGTCTGCGAGAGACTGAGAAAGAGAGAGAGAGACAGATGGAGAGAAAATTCTTTCTCTGGGATTAACATAAACCTCTAGGGTTATGACCTGTCAGCCAGAGTTGCTGCAGACAAAAAAAAACTGAATTTTTTTTTGACGTAAAGATGTTGAGAAATGGGAGGACCCCAAGTTGAAAGTTTAAAACCGACACAGCCCAGCCCACGCGGCCAGGTGACACCGATGGGGCTGCTAATACGCTACGGAAGGAGAAGGGCGCTCATCCCCCTGGTGAGGACGACCGCCGTCCGCTCGCGGCAGTTCTCCCGCTTCGGACAAAGTCGTCAGGTGGCAGCTCTCCGACATTGCATCTCACGTGTTTTACACAGAGAATCCATCTAAAATTCACAGCATGGGTCAAGCCAAGGCCCTCTCTCTATCCCTCGGCCACTAAATCAGCCCTAAAGCCCTATGCAGTGCAGTACAACCTTATTTGCTTTTCTCTTTCGCTCTCTGGTTCACTTTTTTTTTTTTCCTGCAGAAAGTTGAAAAACGCAAGGAAACGTCAAAACACGACGGGTGACTCTTTCGGTTTTCCGAAGGGAAGACTGTTTTTCCCCTTAAAAACCCAGACCAGGTACATCTTGCTTCCAGCACATGCTGAGGAGCAGGGTCGTCCTGTTTGAAACCCTTCAGTCTCAGCAAGGCTGCCGAGTACTTTCCTACACTGGGGGTCCCCCTGCAGTGACTCTTCTGAGCCCCGTTAGCAGGTGATGCCATTGAGAAGGGGACCAGGGAAGAGGGACGCTGCACACTGGGTATCAGCAGAGGGCGGCCGTTCGGGCGGGTCCCCGGAGAAACTTACATTGTGCAGTTTGTAGTACAGCCCGCAGGCATTGCAGACGGGGTCTCCGTTGGCATTTCTTCTCCAGAGAGTCGTGGTTGTGGTTTGACAGTTTGCACAAGACGTACCTGCCCTTCTTGCTGCCGACTGGGGAGTGGGGAGAGAGGAGAGGGTAAAATCAAAACAAACGTTAAAGGGGTTTGCAGAGCTATCGAGACCAACTTTAAAAAAAAAATTATCATTGAAATCAAAACTAGCAAGTGGCCCACATGAAAGTACTGAAGATCCCCAAAAGCTGCCTCAAGAAGAAACATACAGTTGATCCACCAGCAGAGGAGCGGATCGGACTGTGGTCTGGTGGTCCGAGGGTGGCCTGCTGTCCCCCGGGAAGAATTCGGGAGGAGCAGAAAGCCGCCGCCGCCTGTCTGACACAAAGAGCCCCTCCCTCCCTTACCAAGTTTGCCAGATGTTTAATTCTTACAAGTCGCAATTTTGAAAGAACCAGACTGGCTCTGGTACCAGGCCCTCGGTGGCTTTCTAGGCCAGGCCCCCAGGAAGTCTCTTTCCAAGAGTCTCAGCCCTCAAGGAGGCCCCTTGCCATCACAACAGACTCAGAGCCAAGCAAGAGCAAACTCAAGCATCAGAAGCACTTTCTGGATCCCAAACAGAGAAAGAGAGGATGAGAAGGAGGACAGAGCGATAACAGAAGAAAACGTCTGTGTGGGCGTGTGGCCGGCACACGTAGGAGGCACTGAAGTGAACAAACATCCTACGTGAACCAGACCCCAGCCAGTCTGCTGCGGTCCTCACTGTGCACCGCCCACGACTCCAGATTCGGTGGCTCGTGGTGACCGCCATCTTCCTTCTCCTGGGGTGGCTTTTGGTGAATGAGACATACTGAGAAGAACAAGGAATCCTGCAAGTCAGCAGGAACCCTGGCCCCGCTCCTACCTTCATCTCATTTCACCTTCTTGAAAGTAGCTATTTGCTATCTGACGTTCGCCGAGCAGGATGGATGCAGGTCAGATGTCAGCCCCAGTCTGAGTTTTAATTATTTGATGGTGTCACTGCTTTCATTTCCTTCAAGAGGGGGATGTTTCTTTTGCTTTTCAATGGACTTAAATGTATATGGGGATGGTTCCCTCTGTCCATAAGTTTAAAAAAAAACTTAAGCTCAAAAATTTTGGAAAGAAAACAGATTTGGGTCACTCCTAACACACATCTCTCTCACCTCCTCACTCTCTGCCCCGCAACATAAAAAGGAAAATTTAAACTGCAAAATTACTTCTGTCCCTGGACTCAAAAACATTATCAAAGGCAAGAGAAGGAGAAAGAATTTAGCTGGTCTTTATCTGTGATCAAGAAAATACTGGCAAGTTTATAAAAGCACGGACCAGAAACTACAGGGACCACGCCCACTTTTCCATCAATGTTTTATCCAGCAAGATTTCAGTCAAACACCCGAAGCGGCCAGATATGAAAACCCAGTGGCAATTCTGAATTAACCAGGCTGGTTCCTTTCCCTTCAAAGCTGCTAAATTGTCCCACAGAGATGCTCCCCTTTCCTACAGGCTTAAATTGTAGAGCTATGGCTTAAAAAAAAAAAGTAATTATTTTCTGTGTCCTGAGAAACTAAAATTGAACAACAGCCCTTATCCATCATCGTTAAGAAGGTCCTATTTTTGGTCTGTCGGTTTTGAAAATAATTCACTGCAGTCCAAGAGGGCTGCCCCTCACCCCACCCGCCTCTGGACACCTGCCTTTATGAAATGTGACCATTTAAGACTTAACTGCTGCTCCTGGATCCTCCTGGGGAGAAGATGACATAGAAAATCGGTGCTGCAGGATTGTGACAATTAGATTATCATGGGATGATTATTATCATCCTGGACTGTTTTTCCCTCTTTAAAAGAAATGCTCGGATAGAGCAGACTAATAGCCACTCAAGCACCAGGTTTCCCAGCCCAGCAGCTGTGAAGGGGTGGAACAAACCCATCATGCCAACCAGTAAAATAAAAGTTCCGAAGAACAAGGTTCCTGGTACGGCCCTTGGCAGCGTATTGACAGTAACGCAAATACTGCCAGGTTCAGGCTTCGTGTGAATTTATACAGAAGTTCTACAAGCCGCACTGTTCGGTTCACCCGCAGGAGACAACGTTTATTAATAAAGCAAGCTAGTCGTGAGACATACGAAAACCCTGCAACAGGAGGGAAAGAACTCTATAGGTCTTCCCACTCCTCTTCCCTGCGTGAGTTGCATCTTATGGAAGAGAGGAAGAGATACGAAGGGCGGAGTGGTCTGCTGCAAACCTGCAAATGTGCGAAAGCAGAAACAGCAAACTGGAGAGACAGAGCTGGGAAGAAGGGACAGGAAATATAGAAAAGAAGAAAAAGAAAGTTCTAGGTATTCAAAAGTCAAATATATCTAAGGGCTAAAAAAAAATACATACATATATATATGTATATTTATCCTGAATGAGTCCCAAGTGTGAATTCTATGGAACTAAAAATATAAAACCACCCAAAACAGATGAGTAAGAAAGAGCTTAACGTGCGACAGCCAATGAACTCTAGAATCAAAAGCAACTCTTCCTCAGACTTGAAGAGATTTCTTATGAAAGGTGAATGAAGACAAAATTATATAAAATGCAAGTCGAGCCCTCCTGTGCAATCTACCCAGGCAGAGGACACCCCAAGAAAACACCACGTGCACTCCTGCCCATCACCCAGACAACTACAGGATCTTAGACTTCTCTGTTCTCTCTTTCCCGCTTCACGTTTACCTTAAAAAAAAAAAACTGAACAGCCCAATTATAATGGTATCACGACTTATTTTAACAAGAAGGTTTCTGTTGTTACTTTTCTTCCCTTTTTTTCTTTTCTTTTCTTTTTCTCTTTTTTCCCCCCCTAAGGCCAGGTTTTGAGTGATTCAGAACATTCTTTTGTGGTGTGATCATATTCATTCTGTGCTAACACCTCCAGCCATTTTTTTTTCAAACAGTCTTGTTCTGATCCGTTCAAACATCTTGATGTTTAGGTTGGGGAAGCTGAGTTGTTGTGTATGAGTTATCTCCAGAGCTCAGATATCCGGCAGCTTTTTCCTAGGAAGTTAGCTTTGCACATGAGAGAAAGGGGGGGGGGGCCAAAGAGTACGGGGACGAGTCGGGGGAGGTTCGCGAAAGCTGGAGAAGAGGGCAGAGATCAGGAAGAGTAAAGCCTTGAGACCTAGGAGTGCCAAAAATTAAAGTCACATGGGCACGACCATCCCTAGAAAGTTTTTCCTTCTTCCCAAGAGGGTGTGAAAGGTGTTGATTTGCATTAAAATCTGCTGGGGAAGACGAATATTCTTTAAAAAAGAATACAGAGGGTTTGGCAAAGCATAAATACAAAACAGAAACAGACTCATAGACACAGAATACAAATTTGTGGTTGCCAAGGGGGCGGGGGGTGGGAAGGGACAGACTGGGATTTCAAAATGTAGAATAGATAAGCAAGATTATACTGCATAGCACAGGGAAATATATACAAGATCTTGTGGTAGCTCACAGAGAAAAAAATGTGACAATGAAAATACATATGTTCATGTATAACTGAAAAATTGTGCTCTACACTGGAATTTGACACGACATTGTAAAATGATTATAAATCAATAAAAAATGTTTAAAAAGAAAAGAATACAGAGGGTTTGGGGCTTTCCCCCTCTCCCATCTCACAATTCGATGGATGGTACTTTATCCATTGTTAATCTGCATGGGGAAACTCCGCCCCTCCCTCAGTTTGGTGAATGTCATCACCGCAAAAAGCATTTTGATCTTTTGACTGTGGTTCCAGTCCTCATTTGCCAAACCTGCTTTCATTGGTCTGTTACGAAGGCTTGCTGTTCAGCCTGGCCTGAGGTTCCAAAGACAAGTTTGCAAAGGAACCTCTCCTGCTAGTTTTCCTTATAAACGCTTGCTAGTGCCAGGTTTTCTCAAGTATTCCTTGGGGGGGGTTGTCAACAGGTTTACGAAGGGAAAAGAAGGGGGGGCACAGGAGGAAAGCATCACCTCACTGGCAGGATTTCGAAGGGAAAGTAAGACCAGACACTAGGGGAGACCAAGAGGCAGGAAGGAATCACACAGTTTTCCCCACAGGAATTAACCTGTAGAAATTCCTCAGCTCTTTAGACCAAGAAAGAAGAAAAACTCCACTAAATCCAATGTCTGCTGTTTGCGAAATGCAGCGAACCAGCCCCATCCATCTTAAAGCACTGGTCTGTGAGATGTCATCCCTGGTTCTAAGGCAGCCCTGAGACTGTCATCACCTCCTAGGAGCCTGCTTGTACTATTTCAGGAACAAGTTCTGGATGGCACCTGGGACATTCCATCCCCGCACTAAATTCCTCCGCGAAACTGAGATTTATCAATCCACCTTAAATCAGCCAGCCGGGTCCTCTTAAAGCAATCACTCTGTTAGCCAATACACTTACATAACCCAGAAGTCAGCACCCTTAAAAACTTGATAAGTGACTTAAGAACCATGGAGGGGAAGAGAGAAGAAAAACAGAGAGAGAGAGCGTAATTTTCTGCATATCTAATTTGGGAAAAAGAAAACAAAGGTGGGAGGAAAAGACTGTCCCAAGCAAGCTGACACGATTTCGAGCTGCCCTGCCAATTTCCTGCAGAAAGCGCTCCTTCCTGAAGAGAGGAAATTACAGACACAGAGCAGACAGTGTTGGATCCGTGCTTCCCGAGGACAACTCACCAGCCTTCGCTTGGGTTTGATCAGGGGTCGGTTCTGCCCATTCATCTTGTGGTAGAGTCCGCAGGCGTTGCACAGGTAGTGGCCGGTGCCATCCCGTCGCCACAGTGGGGTGGACGTTGCCCCGCAGTTCACACACTCCCTGCCTTCTAGAAACAAGATTGGACATCAGTCACTTACGGAGGGCAAGCACCCCGAGGAGCTGCAGCCGAGATCGGGAAGGAACGTTTTTGCTTTCTCTGTTTTTCCTCTCTTGGGGGAATTTTCCCACCCCAACTTCCCTTGAAGGTGCCTCCCGAATTGAAAAGAGTTACTGTGTGGCCGGTTCAGGGCCTAACTCTTCCCCCAGCACGCCCAAGCAGAGCCCAAGGAGGAAGGCAAATTTCAACTTGACATCGATCCGTGAGAAAATTCTGAGCCCTGGACGATGGCAAAACGAAACATTCCATTCATTTCCGCAGAGAAAAACAGAGGTGACCCATGATCATCCCCACGTCTGCCTACACGGACTGATGAAATGATGATCAGGATGGAGCAAAAGGAAAGCTTCATCAGTGGCTGGAGAGAGAAACACATAATAAATAGATGCCCAGATCTACCCATCGGCCAATTGATGTTTACAGCGAGGGCTTTAGGTTTCACTTCCAGTAAAACCGTTAAGTGTCCCAGGCTGGCAAGCAACAGAGGGAGGCCCAGCAGGACTCACTCGTGCCCCATCACTTTTCTTCTCGCTAGAAGAGGCCCAGGTTTTCTGCAGTTTTCCAGCCACTGAGACCCCAGTCTGAAGGGTCTGAGGGGAATGCAGTGCAATCTTTAAGGCTCGGACGCTGGAGACAAGGAGGGAGGGAAAGGAAGGGAGGTGTTGGGAGGGGCCGAGCGAGGAGCAGACAGGGGAGAGAGCAGTTTCGGAGGGGGAGGGAGGCCCTCGGGGTCGGCTCATTAACCGAGGCCTGCCTGCAGTTGCTCTTTTTCCAAAAAAACAAACAAACAAAATAAACAAAAAACCAGCCAGGCCGGGTTAGAGCAGCATTCACTCCAGGAGCTGAAGAGTGACCCAGACCCCACCTCCAGAGGGACCACTCCAGGAGGGAATCCCTCAAAAAAAAAAAAGACCATGTTAGGACGCAGGGAGTCTGCTCTGAGTTCTTTACAACTCCTGCCGGAGGAGGAGGAGAAGGAGGAGGAAGGATGGATCCCAGGAGAGCCTGCCCCACTCTTGGGGGACCCGATTCTCCTGGCGAGGGTGCACCAACCTCGCTGCCAACTGAGAGGCACCCAGGAGGAACCCCCACCCCTTGCAGGAGCCAGTGACCTCACTGGAGCAGGTTCCCCAAGAGGAGTCTGGAAAAGGTTCCTGCTCTTTGAGGTGCCGGGAGGTAGGGGCTGGGGATGGCAGGGGAGAAAGAGAGTCCCTAATGGTGGTTTTGTTTTAAGAGATTAATCAGCTAACCCCACACTACCAGGAGGATGGGGTAGGGGAAGACAACGGGGCAGGATGCTCGGGAATCTTGACTCCCTACGAGGAAGACAAGGCCGGCTGGGGTTCTGGGACCTGCTCAGGGTCCAAGTACAAGGGGCGGAAGGGAATTTCCACCCCCAGCCTGTGCTTTGCTGCGAGGATGGGCTCTGGGGAAGGAAACGGCTTTTGGAAATGAAAGTGGGTGTGGCCTCCTTTGACACTGAAGTCCTGCTGAGTAGTTTTTGTCCACTTGGCCTTTTCAAAAAAAGTTAAGGACTTAAGAGATTTTCTTTTTTATTCCAAATTCCCCAAAGGTTCCTAAATTGGGGTCTACAGAGAGCCTTCCTAGAAGCCTTGTAATCATCTACCCGAAGCGTGGCCCCCGTGGGCCAGGAGCGCTGGCTAGACACCCAACAGTTTTTAGCAGGCTCTGGGCTGAATCACACCCAGATACCCTTCCTTGGGGGTCCGGCAGCCTTCGGGACGTGGCTGCGGGATGTGGGGGAGGCGTGGAGGAAGGAGGGAAAGTGGGTAAGGAGGGGCGGCTGCATGCGTAGCCAGGAGGCAAGCAGACCCTCCAGTTTGGTGTCCCCAGTGGGCACTGAGTCAGCCTCATCTGGGGACAGGGACACTGGCCTCCCCATCCTGCCAGGACAGGGGCCTCAAGCTCCGAGCCATTTTGTCCCAGACCTTTGGGGAGGTTTCCTGACCGGCCCCAGCAGTCTGGCTGGAGCCGCCCCGCTCCTGGGCACCTGGGCTGGGGGATCTCCCCGCCTGACGTGATCAGTCTGATTTCCCTTCCTTTGTCAGGCCGTGGGGAGGATGACAGCTTCCTTTTCAGAGGGACCTTGAAAGCCAGCAACGGTCGCCTCTTCTGCAAGGCTCTGCACACTAGAGCAATTTTCTGTCTTGATTCACTCGGCAAGTTCGTGATTGCCTCGCCTGGCTTTTTCTTATTTTTTTTTCTCTTCTCCTTGTTGCCTCCGGTCTGTGACTTCAGCAAACAACCAATTTTCCTAACTGTCTCCTGCTTTCTTTCTCCTCGCTCACTGCCTGGTGTGAGCTGCTCAGACAGACACCTCGCTCTAGGTGACAACCACAGAGCTGGGAGGCCTCTTAACATTCAACAGTCATTTTCAAGCAACCCCTTCGCCTCTGACTGAAATCCTGAAACCGGCCTGGACAGAAGGGGCAGGAGGCTGCCAAGAAAAAGGTGGAGACAGATACCCCCGGTGGAGGGGAGGTGGGGGAGCTAAGAAATTGCCCTCTACAGGGAAAAAAAAAAAGAGGCTTTGTCTTTTGTTTGCAAAGATCTATCCCAGCGCTGACAGCCCGAGCGTTAAAAATGCAGTAGGTGCTCTAAACCACAGTTTCAACCGTTTTCCAAAATGCGACAACCCTCTTCTCTGCGCAACTCCTTCAGGCGATTGCCAAGAAGAGGTTAAAAAACAAAAAAGCAACCACGAAAACCAAGAGAATCCCCTTCTCAGGAATTCCCACCGAGTCTACCCTCTCTCTACCACCTCAAAACATCCCCTCCGAGCCCCACGCTCCTGCAAGTCCCAGCTCCCTGGCTGCCCAGGTGTGCTCTGCTTGGGTTCTCTGACTGTGAGAAAGGAATAAGGAGTTAAAAACCAAATTTAAATCGCTCCTCTCCTTTCCACCCCCCCCACACACACCCAAAAAAATAAAATAAAAAAGTAGGTCTGGAGGTGCTCCTGGTTCTGGTTTCGGGAAACCGCAGCTCTTGCCCCCACCCCTCCCCAAATGTGCTGAGTCTCAAGGGAAGAGACAGAAAAGACCGGCTAACCCGAAGGCAGAAGGTGTGCAGGACGGAGGGGGGAGAAGTCAAACGCGGAAATGAGGGCAGAGAACCAGAGGCGCTTGGAAAAGTCACCCTGTCCCCTCCCTCCACGTAAACCACCACCCCAGCCTCAGATATCACGCTCTTCCCCCCAAACTTTTAGCCCTACCAGAAAAGAGAACTTTTTTTTTTTCAAATCCCATCCCAACCTCAAAATGCACAGGTTTGCTTTCATGGCAATCAGCCCTCAAGCCCTGATCAACCCTGCCTTTTCTGATCCGAGCTGTACCCCACTTCTCCGGGACCCTCCACTCCCCAGGCGGGCGCGGCCCCTCTCCTGAGCCTGATCTCCCTTCCTCTTGCTTTCTCTTCGGCTCCACCAGTCAGCCTACCTCCCTCTCCCTCTGCCGACTTTCATGTACTGAACATGCAGGTCTGAGTTTTTCTGTCAGCCTAACCGCATCCGGACTCTATTATAAAGTTCCTGGCTCGGGATAAACAATGCAACTGTCGCGTGCAGCAGTCTGAAAATAATTGGATTAGCTAAAACATATCAACTAAATAGAGACAGTCCGGCCCAGGCAGTCGGAGTGAATGTCACCCTGGAAAAAAAACCCTGGAAACTGATCTCATGGTCACTGGGTGCCCAGAGCCCGCCCTCGGAAATTTTCTAAAGCCCGGTTTTGCAAGCTGTTTCAAGACTGCCTGTCTCGTCCCTAAAAGACAAGTGATTTCCCCCCACTTCTGTGTATATAGAATCTCTATAGAGAGAGGGCTGGGGAAAGACAGAGGGATAGACCAGGACAGGGAACCCACCCTCAAGGAAACACGCCGATCTTCACAAAACTGTCTCGAAAACTACAGTGAAATCTCATTTTAGAGACTCCCCGACTCTCTGATCCAGCCACTTCGGTTAGAAACAAAATTGGGGGGTGAATTATTTTATTTTTAAACCAAAAACAAATTTGTGTGTGGGTTTTGTCTTACTTTTCACACCAAACTCAACGCCAAGAGAAAAAAACACATGCAGCTCTCTTTGAGATGGAGTGAGCTTTTCTGAGAGAGGACAGGCAAAGGAAGCAGACACACACCTGGGGAATCTTTCTCGGTCCCTCCTACCCACTGTGCCTTCAGAGCAGTCAGGGAATAGGACCTAAGATGCCTTCCTGCCCTGCCTGGGCTCCCAGCACTGGAAGATTCTGCAGGAATCCGGCCCTCTCCATTTCGGATTTTCATTGCACTGTTTGCCCAGGGCAGAGCCCACCTCTGTCTCCCAGAAGTCAGGATGGCAGCCCCCTTTTCTACGCAAAGAATAGGGGTGCTGCTTCTGCCAGGGTCCCGCCCCCAACGAAAAATATACACACACTTTATTTATATATGTCTGTGTCAAGGGCCATTCCCTCTTGACTGGGTGACCCACTCTGAGCTAAGCAGAGAGGCGCAGTCAGGATGCAGAGGGCGGGGGGGGGGGGTCGGCAGGAGGGACCTGTGTTTGTTTGGGTTTCAGGAGGTTTCGTTTTAGCATTAAACACTAAAGATTTATCCCCTCGCCTTCCATTTGGTCTTGGAAACTGACTAAAGGTTACCGCCAGCACCCAGAAGTCCCCTGGCCGGGACAGGCTGGGGTTTGTTTTTGTTTGTCTTTTTCCTTCCCCAGCTCTTGGGAAGGTGGAGGGGAGTGTGTGCTTGAAAATCAGCTCCCATTTGCCCCCTGCTCTGAAGACTGGAAGGAGGTGAGGCACACCTCACTCTTTCCGCACCAGAAAAATGGGCAGAAATCAAATCTCCGAGGGGTCTGGACCACCACCAGCCCCCGGGAGGGGCGGGACTGCGCGTTTAGGTCCCTGCCCTGGATTTCGGAGCAAGGGGTGGGGGAGGGGAAAGGTCTCCGGGGGAGAGAAGGCTCCTACCTGTGCTGGATCTCGCTTTGGGCCTCGACTTGCATCCGAAGCCGGTGGGGGAGCCCCCCAGCAGGCTGCTGGGCGGGAAGAGTCCGGAGCTGTACTCGGGGACGTAGGGCGGGTAGGTGGTGATGGGGTGGTGGGCCGACGCCGCCGCCCCGCCCAGGGCGGTCATGCCGCCGCGGGAGTGCGCCGACTCCAGCTTCATGCTGTCGGGCAGCGGCACCTGGTACTTGATGCACTCCTTCTCGTCCTGGCGGGCCGAGCCGGCCGAGCCCGGGGTGGACAGCGACGGGTCCGGGGAGACGTCCTTCGGCGGAGTGGGCGGGAAGGTGAAGAGGTGCGGGCTGGAATGGCCCGCAGACAGGGAGGAGGACGAGGCCGGCGGGTAGACCGACAGGGGCCCCGGGGAGCCGTGGTGGATGGACGTCTTGGAGAAGGGGCCGAGGTTCCAGGGCGAGGCGGTATGGTGGCTGCCCAGGGCCTTGCCGCCGTCCAGCCAGGGCAGGGATCCGTGCAGCAGAGGCGGACGGCACACCTGGCTCCCTGCGAGGAAAGGGGGAGGGGGCAGGAGAGAGACAGGCGGGTGAGAGCAGCTCCAACGCCCCTCTGATATCTGGGGAGCCTCCCCCCGACCCCAGCCTCCCGGCAGGACAGTCCCAACATCCACCGGACCAGGCCGCAGGCCCACTGTCCCTCCTCTGGGCACCCTCGGCCAGCAAAAGCACCCTTCACCCCTGCCTCCCACACAAATGTCCCACCAAATCCAGGGAATTAAGGGCCTGTGTCTGACACCCAAGAGGTGCTGCCATGGCGTGGAGACGGCCCCTGACTTCTTTGGCCTCTCCAGATACACTTTCTAAATCACAGCCCCGAGGTCCCTCTCTAGAACCTGACTTGATTGATTGGTTCCCTCCGATGGCCCAGAGGCCCCCATCCCAGACCTAATCCCAGGCAGCCTGATAAAAGAGTGGGCCGTGAATGATGGGGCCTGAAGGAGTGAGCCTGGCCACACAACCGCTTAAAACCAGGAAAATACGCAGAGCCTGGAGAGAGGCCCAGCAGAGGTACCCACTCCCCAGGCCCCGTGCAGACAGGAGAGGGCTTGGAGAGGGAAGAGGAGGGCATTTTACATGGAAGTAGCCCTCTTTCAGCACTGGTTCCTAATTGGCAAGGCCTGAAATGGGATTTGCAGGGAAATTCATTGCTCAGGCTGTCGGAGAAAGTTTCCAAGGCTAGATCCTTGGGTGACAGTTTTGTCTGCCTTTCTCACCCTCCCAAATCCTACTGGAAACAAAACAAAACAGGGCCATTTGCACCCCCCCCCGCTGTGATTCCACTAGCGCAGTATGTGAATTTTCACCTGAGCCCCGAGACACAAAATTCCAGTGTCTGCATCTACTTCACTCACACACGGAGTAAATTTCACCTTCATTGGAAATACAGAGTTTTCACGTAGTCGTGGACGAGTCCAGACGCCCCGAGAAGGGTGCAGTTTAAACTGCAAGTGCACATGCCCACACTTACTGATCTTTTAATCTGGTCCCTGCCTCAGCATTTGACATTCTATTTAATCATTAAGAACAATACTGAAACTAAAATCTTAAGAGAGAGGAAGGGGAGGGGAGTTGAGGTGGAAGGAGAGTTCTCTGAACGCCAAGGGTCAAGATTCACATTATGCAGGAAGTAGTATAGTAAATAATATCAAGGCTGCAACACCGCATTTCCACTTAACTGCTGATCTACACAGAACAAGGGCAAAGAGCGCCCCATCCGCAGAAACAATGGTTTTTAACCTGGTGACAGCAGGGCGGAGGACGCCTGCTGCCGGAGGGGCTCTGCCATCGGGCCCAAGCCCAGGATCTAAGGAGGGGAACTAGGTAGATAGACCACGACTTCACATTTCCTCTGCCTGCCGAGTCGCTCCCGTTTCTTCTTTGGGGACACACAGCTGGAAAGCGTTAGAGCGTTTTCCCCCTCAGCTATACGGGCAGCCAGGTTTCTCTCTAACATTTCAGAACTCTCCTAAACTTCTTAAGGTGAAAGAGAAAGTTAGAAGACAAGACAAGCACCCAGGCATCGCTCCCCCCATAAAAAGAAACCCTGGTGGATCCTAAACCATTTCTCGGAGCTTCCTGGGGCTGCTGTAGGCCGGAGGAGAGCGCGAGGCTAGAGTTATGGGGAGCAGGCAAGGAGGTAACCACAAAGCATAGACGCAAGAAAATTCTGTGCAGCCGGGAATCTAGGAAACCCCAAATGTCTCAAACTTAAGACGGTTGTCTTTCCACCAAAACCCCGTCAAGCAACAGACTTCCCTTCCTCAGAGCCAAGAGGCAGGAGATTTGCCTAGGAACCAAATGCATCAGCTTAGGAGAAAGATCAAAAAACGATGGGAATAAATACGTTTCTCGGGCCTTTCTGGAAATGTGCCGGATTTGAAATGTACCGAGGCACGCTGGCTGAAGCCCCCGAGAGAGAGCTACGGGACAA